GGAAGGAGACCTACTGAGGGCATCTTGTCCAGGAACCTTGTAAATATGCACTGAAAGACTGTTTTCTTGCTCTTCTGAAGACGTGCCTTCTCCCTGCCCTCGCCCTGTTGCCAGCTTCTTTTAAGTTTAAACAAAAGAAAATGGCAGGAGAACCTAATCAGAAAGCTCCCAGAGACTAACCGTAAGAGGCATCGCCTATCACACACTTCTGCCCATTCTCTGAAGAGGTGTTGAAACTGAAGATGTCGGGGTGCTTACAGCTGCATCCTGAACTTCAAGTCCTGCATTAAGCAGAGCACAGGAACAGAGGATCTTCAGGATCCTTTCCAATGGTATTGCTCAGCATTATTTCCATTTGTAGATTGCATAGACTCATCAACGGGACTGGGGTCAGCATATGGCAGTCGGGTGGGCAGCTGGTAGACATCTGGCAAGGTCCACCATTCACACTTCCCCAAGCCCTTCAGATGCTCTACTCAGTGCTGCACCAGTGAGGAGTCACTATTTTTTGTTTGCTGTGATGCTGCTGGCATGGCACTGCTATTTACATTTCCCACAACTGTATTTAAATGAGGCAGTGGTGCTCTGGAATAGGGGTTAAAAGTGGGGATAATTTGCAAGGGTGAGATACAAAGCAGGGGTGGGAAATAGTGGGGATTTTAAGTAAGTAATGCCATTGGAAAATCCCAAGCGCCAATGTCAGAAATGTGGGGGTGGCCACTAGGTTCAAAACCATGGAGTCAAAAGCTGCTGAGTCACTGAGAGTGGTTCAGCTTTTATTGCTCAGCACTCTTGAGCAATCCCAGGAGTCGGCACCATGGGGAAGCCGTTATGACCATCTCCTCCGTGAATTTGTCCCATTCCCCTTTAAAGAGGTCCAAACAAGTGCTCATTGATGTGCACATGGGAGGCATGTCATGAATGCAGCTAGCTGGAGCCGCAGGTCAGACTAGATGGCCCAGGAGACCCCTTCTGACTCGCTCTGTTTCTGTGTTTCTATCTTGCAAATTCCATAGGTTAAATATGAGCTCCGTGAAGAAATAATTCCTTTGGTCCACAATCTTCCAGCAATCTGTATGTTATGTCCCCAGGTTCTAGTATGTATGTATGTATTGAAAGCTTTTCTAACCTGTCCACTACAGATGTCTTGGGACAGCTTACAAAAAATTCTGTACCCTAGTATTATGAGAGAGGAGGAAAAACATCTCCCAATACGCTTTCTCCACATAATTTTGCACAGCACTGATATATTCCCCACCCACCTCCTCACCTTTCTTCTAACCTAAATAACCCAAATATTGCAATCTTTCCTTAAAGAACTGCTCCAGCTCTTGATCACTTCGGTTGCCCTTTTTTCATCTTCTCTGATTCTGCAATGACTTTTTGAGGCGTGGTGGCCGGAACTGCACAGAGCAAGCAAACTGAGCTCTCCCAACTCTCGCTATGGAGTTGCAACCACCTTTGAGAAAAAGGATCATGCTATCAGCTTATAGTTTGAATTTATATGGGATATTTAAACAGGGTCTATTTGAAAAGGCATGTGGAATCAAACCAAAGGTGCACCTGGGCCCACACTTTCTACACATGGAGGCAAACCAGCTGCTCACAGGATCCCTCAAGCAGGACAGGTACACAGGTTAGCATAGGTTGCCGTAGAGCTACGAGCCATCAACTAATTTCATTTACATTTTAAAAATATAGTTTTGTGATGTTTATTGTTCTGTTCCATGTTGCAGTTCACTGTATTAGCTGTTATTCACCACACAGAGTACTTTGGGTATTGAGTAGTATCAAAATAAAATAAGTAGTAATAAGAAATTGCAGGGCTATGTACCGTGAGATCTCTATGCAGCTTACGAGGCTCCTCCACCCCCGCTTCGTAATAGCACAGAAATAGAAAATGAGAACTACAGTGGTCAAAGCCAGTTTCCTAGAGCAGCAGCCATTTCTGAGCAGGGAAGCAAAGAGTCCCTTGAACTCCAGCCTGAAACTTACCATCAACTGGGGCTTAAGTGGGAATCTTAACTCCCGGGTTCTCCCTCCCAGCTTTAACACTGGAGTGAAAGCAGGATTGGGCAAGAGGTGCAATGCATCATGCACAGCGGGCCTGCTGGATCAACTGATTTCTTGTGGTTGCCTCCAGTTAGGTGGCAAAAAACACCAGCAGCCAGTGCGAGTACCAACCACGAGGCCTCATGCGCTACTGTACCTGAAGGGTCCCTGTTTGGGCTGGCGGGCTGGCGGGCTGTGGCCTTCGGAAGAGCTGACCAAATGACTTGACAGGATTCCAAAATGATCGCTGTGGAGCAATGCCACCAGGGCAAGGGAGTTGTCTCACCCTGACGACAAGGTCTGCTCCTTTCAACTGATCTTTGAAGTTTATATTTTTAATACCAGGTAGTATGATTGTTTTAATGTTATCTATATTTGTGCAGATCCCATCTTAGAAGAAGCGATTCCAAGACTGGTTGGAAGGTTCAAGAACAGTGGTGGCACTTTTGGTATCTGCCAGGCTTCCCACCCTTCCTGATTTTTATTTCTCAATTTTTTTAAAAATACACTTACTAAAAAAAGCAAGCGAGCTGGGATACTGATGTGCTGGCTTCCAATGACATCTCTATTTGGGTTCAAGAGTGGCTTTGTGTTTCAGTCCTCACATCTGTCTTGTACTTACTTAAGGTTCTTAAGTAAGTTCTTTTCTTTTCTGTGCTCATCAGTCTGCTTTCTAGGAAATGAATGTTTTGTGGTGTGGTGATCAGCCCCAAAAGAGTAGGGAATCTAATCCCTTGTTAGATAAGCCCTAACCTCTTTCACAATTATGACAAGAGGAATAACTAATTTTTATCAAGCAATTCAGAATGTGATCCCTTATGACTTGGCTCACTTGCTTGAGCCACTCTTTTCCAGGGTACTTCATTCTGTTGAATAATTCTTAATTCTTCTGCAGCAAGCAGAAGTCTGGCTTATTCCATTCGTGGGGTACACAGAGCTCTTGGGAGCATTCCTTCAAAGAGGAGCATCGCATGCCATAATAATGAACTTTGCCTTTGTCATGTATGAACGGATTGCAAAATTGCCCTACAGACAGTCATGCTGATCCATGAGGACAAAAACTCCAAAATTCAGGAGAGAAAAATCACCCAGAGTTGGACAATACATTTATCAAGTTCAACCAAAATGCCACAAATGATTGTGCAAGATTTCAACTTCTCAGGAACTCTTAAACAAGATTTAAACACCAGTTTCTTCTCATACCCCCTCCTTTTTATACCACCTAACCTGATTTTTCTTTTGCTCATCATCCCTCCCCATCCCTTTTCCTTGTGTGTCACATCTTTTTAAAGTTACAAGCCTGGTGCAAGGATTCTCTTGTTTACTGATGAACTGTAAACTGTTCCAAGACCTCTCCTCCCTCTTTTTATACTGAATGGGACAAAAATACTTTGAATAAATAAATACTTTGAATAAATAAATCTAGACTCTGGATTTTGGATTTCCCTTCCCAGATTTTGAATTTTGTAGCATGTGAGGAGCTTTTCTTTTATTTCCCTTTTATTTGGGGCTGTTTGAAAGCTCCCCCCCCCCACTCCCCAAATTTTGGTTGCAAGTAGAAGTACACCTAAGGGAATTAAAACCCACTGAATTCATATTTTCTTCCAAGTAAAATAAGCTGAGAATTGTCCTGTGACAAAGCTTTTCTTTAATTGAATTGTAAGGAACTGAGAGCAGTTTCCACTTAACATACCTATTAAATATATATGGACTTAATTCTTTCCATAGAGCACTATTGGCTCAATATAGCTGACATTCACCCTACTTTGACACACCAGAAAAAATGCTTTAGAATGAGAAAAAGCAAAAATTAGCTGCTGTCCAAAGGAATGTGATCCTTCTTTGGGGTTAAAACTGTGGCCTTATTTAAAGCATTTTTACTGTATGTTCAGCTGATAATGGCTCTAAGAGCAGCTAACAAAGAGCAAAATGAAACGTTTATTTCAATTGAGGAATTCACACTAAAGGAAAAGGGACTGGGAAGAAAGAAGGGAAATTTCAAGTTCCATTGGGCATTATTTCTTAGTTACAAAGTAATTTTTCTCTCTCCACCCTGCAAATTGTTTTAGGGAGAAATAAATATAAGCAGATGTAAAACCAATCAGGTAAAACTCTTTGGATTAATCGAGCAAGATTTCTTTAATTGGACAACGACCTAAAACAAAAGAAAAACAGCCCAGACTGAAAAGAAAAACAGCCCTGCTTTCCATGGCTTCGCTTTCAGTTTCAGACTGTCATTGGTGTGTTCTGAGTTCCACCAATGTATACTCTGCACTTAAGGGGCAAAAGCCAAAACATACAAAGAAGACCTTTGATACAATCTTGCTTCCCATTTTATGTTCTCTGGATTGTGGTTCAAGAAAACCTGCTTATCTGTTAAGTCAGCCCTTGTCTTTCATCAGGGAAAAAGAGAGGAGGACTGAGCAAGCTTTCATGTAAGTTGGTTCTGCAAGTTTCTGTATCTAATACAAATACTGGGTCTCTTCCCAGGCCAGCTATCTCTCTGCCCTAGCGGTGCAGAAACCCTGGCCTGCTGGGTTCCCGCAGGTTGCTCCAGGGGGGCAGAGCTTGGCCTGAAAATCCCAACACCTAGAGATAAGATGGGAAATAAGAGCAAGAATGTGGGCCACAAAGGACTCAGCCAATGCAGAAAGAGCTGACCAAGTCAAGTCCCTGTGCCAATTCGACAAGGAGAAGGCTAAAGTGGGCCAGGTGATTACATCTGTGGGAATAACCACAGGCAACAGTATCATCTAGCCCTCAGAGGGCCCAGAGATGGGGCGGCCTGCCCCCCACTCCCACATACTGTTCTCCACAGACACTCTGCCCATCATCCATCGTGAGAAACATGCTTGTTGCAGCTGGGGAAGAAGTACAAAACGGGGCATGAATGCACCACCGCAGGCATTGATCTAACCCTCCCCATAAACAGGAAATTACTCAAGAACTCAAGTTCAAGTTCATTTATTGTTTTACTTGTTTTAAAAAAGGATTTTTCAGTGTTTTTCTTTTTTTAAAAAAAATACTGTTCAGATCCTTAGAACTGCAGCACTGGGCCTTAAACCTCTCCCCACCCCCCTCACTTAAGTCCCAGAGGGTTGCTGAAAAGCTTTCAAGTGCCTCTCCCAAATGGAGAAAATGACCTGCCCCCCAACCACCCCCACAAGCAGGGATCTGGGTGGGAGCAGGGGAAACAACTTTTTTTTAAACCCTTATAGGATAGCCTTCCTCAATCTGGTGCCCTCTGGATGTTTTAAACTACAACTCCCAGCATTCCAGGCCACTGGCCATTATGGCGTAGGCTGATCAGAACTGAAGGCAGAAACATCAGGAAGGCACCAAGCTGGGGAAGGTTATGTTACGAAGACATCCCGGAGCTGTTTATAAACAGAGAAAAAAGAGCAGGAATGTGAGACCCAGAAAGTTTTAGCCACGTGACTTATGTCCCCTCTGAAAATGTGGGAGGGGGACTTTGCTGCCTATCAAGGAGCCCATTCAATGGCATGTTTTGACTCCCTCAAACGTAGCCCAGCTGGAACTCAAGCAGAAAGCATCACAGGGAGGTGAATGAGGGCTTGACAGTGCAGTAAAGTCTTCAGGTGTTCCTTAAAAAGTGAGAGAACTCTCCACAGTGATGTCAAAAGTATCCTGCTAAGGTAACAGTTTTGACGCATTCTCTTCCCTACTCATGAGACCCCGCTTTTAAACATTCCAGATCTTCCTTTTCCTCTTCCTATAGAAAGCCCCCCAACCAAAATACGCTTCCAAAGAATATTAATATTATTAATAGCCATGCATCCCCTGCCTCTGGAGGGGCGAGGTGAGAGACATCCCCAACCTCAGAAGGGTCCTTGCCTCCTCCTTCTGTGCCCCACGGAGCGGGTGGCGAGGGCACCTATTAATTCATGATCAGTAAAAGTAACTGGAGGTGTCAAGGGGTTCCCTGTGCTAGCAGAAGTGGGAGGGGTGTCGTTTGGAACTTTTTTGGACCAGCAGGACAGAAAATAACAGGAATCATCTTCCCTTTTCAAGGTGGCGAGGGAGTGAGTGGGGGAAGGAGAGAGAGAGAGAAAGAGGAGTCCCACAAGGATAGATCCAATCTCCAGTCGGAATGGGCACTGCACCTGAGGAAGGGGGGGGGAGAAAAAGCAAGGAGCAGGGATTAACAAAAGCTGTGTCTTTCTCCAAAAATGGAAGCAAACAATTGCTTATAAAAGCCAAATTTTATTGAAATTTCAGCCCTAATTCGGCCATTCAACTAATGCACTCTTGGATAGCATGGGAAGAGAAGAGAGCTGTGCCCAGCATCCCCACCTGCAACATCCCTGCCCTTGGCCGGCAGCAGGATCAGATCTCTGTATGTCGAATATGTGGAGAGCAATCTGAACTGTGGCGGGAAAGTTTTTTCAGTTCAAGCACTGAATTCCCACCTGGAAAAGTTTTAAATTTAACCAGAAGGCAGATATACCCAGAAGCAAAATGGGCATGGCCAAAATGGTGTTCTTGACTATTTTAAGCCTTGGAATCTACTCATAAACAAAATGTACTTATATTTTAGGAGGAACACAAGCTGGAAACCTTACACCTTGTTGGGAAAGTGTCTGCCAGTGAAATGTCAAGCATGAACTTGTGAAACCCCACACTTAATATGTTTTTAAACCAGTTGATCCAGCACAGGCAATTTGTGACCCTTCAGAGGCCTGGCCTACAATTCCTATCTTACCTTACCATTGGCAATGCTGGCTAGGACTGATGGGACTTGTAGGCTGAAATGTAAGCCTAAAGGGCTGCAAGCAATTATGCAAGCAAATAAATTGCCTTTAGAATTCCCTTTCCTAATTCACTTGACCTTTGACATTATTTCCCATTTTAAAAAAATGTGCCTTGCCAGTGGCTCTGTTTGCACAAGCATTATCACACCTTGATAAGTCAAGATATGACACAATCTTTTTCCAGACATGCCAACCCTTCACAATCTCAGCAAACCAGGAATTCTCTAGTCTCAGCAAACCAGGAATTCTCTTATTTGCCATAGTTTCCTATTTCCTCTGAACCAGCAAACAACTGTTACCAGCTTCACAACAAACCAGAATTTTAAACCTTCAAGTCCCAGAATGGGCAACCATAATTTCCTGATTTGGATGAGAGAATCTGATGAATTTGAGATGTGGGGCTTGTTTACTTGCCCCTTGGTGTATGCAGCAAATGGCTGATTCGTATTTTGGCTTTGTGAGCTGAGAAATGATCTTGGGTCTCCTCCTCCCCACTGCAAAGCTCCGGCCCCTAATGATGTTCCCTGTCCCACTCCCCAGGTACTTTTACCTTGATACTTCCTGACCCAGGCAGCAGGGGGAGCTCATTCGTCCCCAGCAGTCATTCCTCTCACTGTGCCTTTCTGGCGTATCTGAAACAAAAAGGTAGCCTTCAGCAGGTGTTCAGCTTTGAGCCGCACCTGCTTGCGGCATCACCTCTGTTCACCAGGGCTGGATGGAAAATAAACCTCCGCCCAGTTCTGCTCTTCCCTGTGGGTTGTTTGTGAAGGCTCTCAATTCTTTTTTAAGCGATCCGTAATCAATTACAGTTGTCCACTTTGCATATTGCTGAAATTTTATTCATTTTTAGAGCAAGTCATTGAAACCTCAATATCCAGAAACCAATATCCTTTAACCCCAAACTGAAAAAGAGATCCACTGAAACAAAAACAAGAAACAAACAACCCCATATGTACCTCTTCTTTTCTCTTCAGGGGGAACAGATAAAAAGAAGGCAGGACTTTTTAAAATAAGTTGTATAGGAGAAGGATTTCTTATGATTAAAAATTACCTGTACACATTTACAATGAAAAAACCCATTCTGCCAATATTAATTAAAAACAAGTAGTAAAATAATTGACAACTAAGGAAGTTTAAGTGCAAAAGTAAAGAGACTTCTGCAGGGACAACTAATTCGAGGATGAAAAACCCAGACCTAACAAATGTTGTCTGCTGCCTAATATTAAATAGGGCTGTTATGCAATTAAGGAAATCTCAGTTGTTCAAATGCGTTTTAGAGCCAGTTAAGGGTATACCTTCTATGCATGTTTAGAAAGAAATGTGCTAAAGAGAATTGTAGGACATTTCTCTTTCTAAACACGTGTATGAATGTGCCCACAATCTGCACTAAGTTTGCACTGTGATGTTTCAGAGCGGGTTCCTCCTGATATATCACAATTCCTATCATTCCCAGTCATTGGCCATGCTGGCTGAGGTTGATGGGAGTTCAAGTCCATCAATAGCAGCAGGGCAACTAGTTCTGCATCTATGGTATTCAAGAAAAAATATTCGATGGTACATGTCTAAGCTGCAGTAGGGTATCATTCTGGGAGAGGTCAGGAGACATTATCAAAATCCTAGACATTTTAAACTACTTCTTACATCAGGGATTACTTTTTAGGAGACTTTGAGCACAATTCAATGCATGTCCAGGCAGAAAAAAAGTTACTGACTGCTGGTTGTCTGGAAATTATGATGTATCTTAGAATACCGGTGTCTAGAGATAATTCTCAAATTATACAACATAATGTACTCCTGGAAAAGACATATTTTGATTTGGAAAGATAAGCACCATTTAATATGAAGTTAACATACTTAAGATGAATATCTTACCACAGGTAATTGATATATTGCATAATTATGCTGTATATTTTCCACAGACATATTTTCAATACACTGTGCAGCATTTCTGAAGTCTGCGTGGGTTGGGATTAGACTTCTCCCTGGTTTTTGCTTAAAGAGGGTACAGCTGCCCATTAGAAAGGATGAATTTAGGTTTTTAGACCTTAATTTGGAACATAAGACTTATCTATTATCTCATACCGGTGGTTGGAAGATACCTCTTTCATACAATTCTCTTCCATAGATGCTTTGGAGTCAAACGAACGGCCACTTCTCCTAGGCTGGATGGCTCCAGGATCTAAGCATGCTAAAAGGAGAGGAGTGACTCCACCTGCCATTTTGCTGCTCAGAGAGGCACAGGGCATTCGTTTTGGTCTCACAGTGCTGCAATCTGGCCCTTACTCTCGAGCCAAATTAACCGTATGGGACACACACTGGGCGTCCATATGTGCATGCATGCACACACTTGTATTTGTAACGTGCCCAACTGGTTCCCCTGCCTTCAAATACCTCATCAAGCTCCTTCTGTGTCTCCTCCTCCATCCGCCGGATATCAGCCATGCTTAAATCCACCCACTTATCCAACCAGCAAAAGAGCTGCCTGTGGAAGTTGGTAAAGAGGCGTCGTTCTTGCTGTAAAAGGGAGAAGGAAAGTGTCAAGAAGAAAGTGGGGCGAGATCCTTCGGGCAGGGAAAGCCCATCGGCAACCTCCCTGGAAGGGACTAAGCCCCCGAGTAGGGGCCGCATTCTGCAGAGTCTCCAGAACAAGCTGGGCTCTGGTTTTAGCCAAGGCATTCCCTCCCTCCCCCCTAAAAAAAGAGGAAAGGAAGTCTCAGATTTTATTGCCCTCCGTAACTCTATCAAGTGCTACTATCCAGACTGGCCACTTTCCCAAATTGATTTGAGTGAGCCCAGCCCAAACTTACCTTGTGGATAAACTTTTCTACGCGGCCTTGTAAGCCCCACCAGCGGAATTTCACTGTCACAAGCTTGTAGGCACACATGTGGGGGCAATCTTCGTTATTGGCTAGTTCGCGCTAGCAGAGGGACGTGGAGGGGGAGAGGGTGGAAAAAAGAGATCCACGGGTTTAGGGCTAGACGTTTCCGAGCACAAATGTGGAAATTCCTCTTAGGCTAGGGGTGGGCGACCTGCAGTCCTTGAAAGCCGTTTCTGCAGCTCACCAAATTTGCCCTGCCTGCCCCCCATTCATGCCTCCCTCCATATTCTGCCGCCCACAGACACACACAGGGTATCACTGCTGCATGCCCTGCTTTTAAGAGGAATGAGGAGAGAAGGCCAGTGTGGTGTAGTGGTTAAGAGCGTGGGACTGGGACTCAGGCGATCTGGGTTCGAGTCCCCGCTCAGCCATGGAGCCCACTGGGTGACTTTGGGCCAGTCACAGACTCTCAGTCCAACCTACCTCACAGGGTTGTTGTTGTGAGGATAAGATGGAGGAGGAGATGTAAGCTGCTTTGAGCCCTTTGTACGAAAAAGGCAGGATATAAATCGAAAAATAAATAAATAAATAAAGGCATGGTCCAAGGGTGAAGCGGGGTGGGGAAGACCGCTGAATCCCTGCCTGCCTGATTCACTTCTCAAAGCCTCCAGCTGGAAGGGAGAAGCTAGCAAGGTTTTCCTGGCAGCTGTCAGGGCATAGTAACGGCTCCAAAAAAGCCTTGGAGCTTTACGGGACTTCCCAGCCAGTTCTCCCCGAAAAGGAGAAAAGGTGTGAGCATCTTGGGATAGGGGTTTGCAATGGTTACAAACGCTTGGGAGGCCAAGGAGGTCTTCCAGATGTCTAGGATGATGCCGCCCTGCTTTCCTGAGCATTGACCATGCTGATGGGAGTTGTAATCCTAAACATCTGGGGGGGGAAGCATGCTTGCGCTACCATCAACGGGAAATACGAGCCACAAAGACCAGTTAAAGAGGGGGAAACACCCTCTCATTTTTCCAGGGAATTTTGGAAAACTGGAGGAATGAATCCCCCCCACACACACACACACTTTTTAGTTCCCTCCCCATTTTTTCATATTGTTACCAGCAACCGAGCGTCTCTTCAGAAGCCTTCAAGGGACTTGAGTGACCTGGAGTATATACAAGCAGCAGGGTGGAGACAGCGAAGGGTCGGTTCTCACATTTTGCTGAGTGGACATACCTTCCAGTCAGGACCGAGAGGACCTCTGCCGGTCTTCATGGATTTGAAAAGTGCCGGGTCTTCATCTGGTTTGTAATCCTGGGAGGGAAAGTGAGAACACAAAGGTGACAAAGGTCCAGCAACATCAAAAGCCGAAAGGTGCCCCCCTTACCCCATTCAGGTAGAAAAGCAGTGAGAAATGAAACCAACCCCTCCTGACCAAAAGACAGGGCACGAATCTCAGTCCAGGAAAAAGCCACCCAGTTTCCCCATTGTAACTCGCACAGGAGCCCATTTTTCTAAACTAAGTAAGGGTGGGGGGAAAAGATCATCTCTAAAACAGCCTTTTCCAACCTGATGCTGATGCTTTCCAGGTGTATTAGACTACAACTCCCAGTACTGTCAACAAGCACAGAGGGCACCAGCTTGAGAAGGCTGCTGTAAAACCAAGGAGCTGGCAGAAAACAAAGGGATGCTGGAACCAAGAATCCCCACAACACAGTGACAAAAGCACAGCAGAACTGGTATAAGCTTCAGCCACCACTGTGGTTCTCTTAACTCTTAAGCTGCCTTCCCCAACCTAGTGTTGCCCAGTTATTTTGGGCATCAGCTTCCAGCCTTCCTGATGGCTGGCCGTCTTGGCAGGGGCTAATGGAAACCGATGTCCAAAACATCTTGATGGTACCAGGTTGTGGAAGATGGCTCTGAAGGCATGAAGAGAAGACAGGTTTGCATTGCCTTGGTTGTGGAGGACTTGCTCAGAAGCATCCCTCAAAATATTCCAGGACTCAACTTTTCTTAGAAAAAGAAAGAAAAAGGTTAAGTGGACTCCAAGTGCCAATGAAGTCGAAGTTGCTCCATAGTTTGAGTGCACTTCTGTCAGTTTCAATCCCACAAATCAAAGCAAAAAAGCAACACAACACAACACAACACAACAGCAGGGCTATACGCTCACACCCACGGCCAGGAAGAGATACCTCAGTTTTGCACCATCACTGAGAAGGAAGGGCAGCGACTAAACAAAGAGAGAGACTGCCAGGAAAATAAGACGTTTCTCAGAGGCCTTCCGTAAGAATCAGTTCAGGGGCAGAAGAAATGTCATGGTACAGCGCTCTGAAGGCATTCTAGGTAGTGCAATTCCGCCCTGTCTCCAAATGATGCAAACACAGAAAGGCCCTCTGGACTCATGGTCCTAGAGCTGCAGACAGTTTCTTCTTTTCTGTCAGAAGTTGGGCTAGCAAATGGAAGCGCTCCTTCCCTCCCAGAACTCCCCCCAGCTCCCATTCGCAGGTCAAGCCGTTGCCAGGTGCTCCCGCAACTGCCGAGCACAAGCTCTTACATCATCTGACACTAGCGTCCGGTCAGCAATGTCTATATGAACCACCTCAACATTTTTCCAGGTCTCTGCATCGAGCCCATGGACCTGAAAAGGAAGTACAAGGGAAGGCTCAGCATTCACATATGACTCAAGAATCTCTTATGGAGAAATATGTTAGTCAGAAAGAACAGTCTGGAGCACACTGGGAGTTAGAAGCCATTTTCCTGTCTTAACATGCATAGGATTGTCACTCAAGTACAAAAGACAGATTTAGGCCTTGTGAGATTTAGAAAAGATTTTTGTTGGTTGTATGCATGTTATGATGGCACACAATGTTGGTGAAAGTTTGGAAGTGGCTTGCTATTGGAGGAGGAAGAGAAAATTTGGAACATATGCAGCCATAGGAAAAAAAAGATCTAATTCAATGCATTTTTTTTTCAGAGAAGCTGGCAGTTCAATATCCAGATCAAGTGACTGAGCAGCCATGGATATTTTAATTATTCAATTGAATGGGATGTAATTAAAGCTTTATTGCACTTTATTTTTGTTTAAATGTAAGATATTTTCTCTACTGGTTTCCAAGTATTAATATTTATGGTATTTATTTATGAAAAGCAAATAATTTATACACGCACACACACAGAGACTTTGGAAAAATGAACTCTTAGAAACCTTTGAGGTCACCTCTCAGCTTATATATTTATGCAAACAGACAAGAAGTAAGATGTATTATGCAAACCTGTCCATCAGCTGAGACCACCTACAGTGGTTTTTCTTTCAGATACCCAACAAATTAATCATAACATACCAGTTCGGGGGAGCCAATGGGAGTTGGTACCAGCACATCTGGGGCCACCAGATCGTGCAAAGCTGGTGTAATTCTCAGAACTTAAGCAATATGGCAAAATCCTTCACCCCTTCCATGCTCTGTTTCCTATCTGCCTGCTTACTCCACACCATCTCTGCCCCAATGGGATGGATCCAGTGTTAGTGTAACTTATGTTCCATTTTTTCCAACAGAGCCCCTGATACTTTCCGCTCCCCAGCGAAACCCTTTCATTCCAACATTTAGTCTTCCTCCAACTCTGCATCAGGCCTTTATTTCTTCGTGCCTCACTGAAACAGCCATGGAAAGTACTTAGCAAATCCTGTTATCTGAAATTCTCATTGTGTATTTGCGAATTAAATAAAAAAAATCATGGGGCTCACTTAACATTATTTTTAGGCTGCCTTTCTAGGAAAAACTCTCAAGTTAAAAATTAGACAAGACTGTTACAATAAAATTAGGGAAATGCAAGCAAAATTGGGGAAATGCAAGCAAATATACAGCAAATTTCAATTCTAACTATTGGCAGCTGAAAATTTTATTTTTTAAAACTGGAAATGTTGATTCTCTCTATACAAAGACTCATAGTGCTTAAGAAATGCATCATTTTTAAGATCTTTTAAAGTGCTTTCTTTGCTGCTTCATATGCAATGTGAACTTAACTGCCCAGAATATTCAATAATTCATAAGTACCACTGCTGAAAAAATGCAGATTTTAATTAAATACCATTTTATTTCAGAATAATAAAATACAGGATGGATGTCTCAAATCTTGCTATTAATAAATAGAATCAGGCACTCTCATTCGTGATGTGAAATTCAAAAGGTTTGTTTGCATGCATGCACACCCCCTCACTTACATTGTCTTGGTCACCTAAGTCTGGTTTATGCCATGTTTCAATTTTGACGAAGAAATCATCTTTCATGTATTCATTCTGTCAAAAAAGGAAAGGGTAAAAGGATTAGTCCTAATCCCTTGCGATAACCAGAGGACCCACAATTTCCAAAGCTACACATAACTGTTAGCAAGAGGATATCCAGAATTCTCTGGGGAACTCTCTGTGGGTAACACAAGAACGTGAATATCCCAGGATGGCTGTATTAGAACTTACTTGTGATAGGACAGGACACAGATGTGGCCAGGAGGGCAGAGAAATGTGGGACAGAGTTGGGAAAGGGGATAATGTAAAAGCATTCTGTGTCCACGTGCCTGCCCAGAGTTCCCCTTTTCCAAGTCACTTACCGTAATAACTGCAGTAGACCGGACCAAAACAGGGGGGAGAGGGAGAGAGAGAGAGGGGGAGAGAACATGTTAGTTCAGCCCAAGTAGACTTTTTTTAACTAATCAGATTGAGAGACAGTTTTCTTATCCAAAGCTGAAACTCTCAAACACCAGTTTACCTATAAATCATATATGCTATTCTAACACAACCATGTACTCAAATGGTTCGACAGTCTTCCCTGACCTTGGGTCCCTGAGATGTGTTTAACCATCCTTATGATAATCTTGACCAGCATGAAGGAATAGGGCCAGGTTAGGGAAAGCTGCTTTGGACTACAGCCCTATTCAGAAGTGCACCCACCCATGCCGTGAACAGAAGCCCACCCCTCACTTGTGTCCTCATCACCCGTTTTGGCAGCCCTCTATGCATTTGCTTGATTACAATTAATTTGATTTAGATGCCTCCTTCCACCAAAAGTAATATATAAAAACATGCTCAAAGCAGTAACAAATCCAAAGTTAAAATGAACGTTGTTCAAATGTTCATTAAAATAAATAGATGAAAAGCACAAATTGCCACCAATACGTTCCCAATCCAGCAGAACCTGCCCCAGCAGGAGCTCAGCTCAAAGCATCCTTGCCAGCTGGTGAAAGGACAGCAGAGAGGCAGACAATCTCTTCTTTCTCAGCAGGGAGTTCTAATGCCTAAAAGATGCCTCTGAGAAGACCTTCTCCAATGCCATGTAACAGGTCTCTGGTGGCAGTGGGGACAAGAGGAGGGCCTGCCCTGGAAGAACTTAAAACCTTGCAGCTCATGGGAGAGAAGGTGGTATAGCAGTGGGGCTGAACATCTGAAGCAGAGAGTCAGCCCTACCTGGGCAGATTCCTCACCTAATTTACACCTCAAAGGAAACTACAGAAGCAGAGAAGTTTCCCACTGAGGACCCCAAAGTGTGGAAGGCTGCAGAGCCAGGGGGCTCATCCCCTCCCTGATTCTGAATATGTGTTGTTGTTAGTTGCAAAGTCGTGTCCGACCCATTGCAACCCCATGGACAACATTCCTCCAGGCCTTCCTGTCCTCCACCATCCCCCAGAGTCCACTCAAGCTCACACCAACTGCCCCTGTGACTCCATCTAGCCACCTCATCCTCTGCCATCCCCTTCTCCTTTTGCCATCTATTGTTCCCAGCATTAGGCTCTTCTCCAGGGAGTCCTTCCTTCTCATTAGGTGGCCAAAGTATTTTAGTTTCATCTTCAGGATCTGGCCTTCTAAAGAACAGTCAGGGTTGATCTCCTCAAGGACTGACTGGTTTGATCGCCTTGCGGTCCAGGGGACTCGCAGGAATCTCCTCCAGCACCACAATTCAAAGGCCTCAATCCTTTGGCACTCAGCCTTCCTTATGGTCCAGCTTTCACAGCCATGCATTGCAACTGGGAAAACCATAGGTATGTATAAGGTATGTAAATGAATATTTATGCAGAAACCCTGTTTAGATTTACAGGGTTGGGAAAAACTGTCCCCCACCACCCTGGTGTTTTGTCTTATAACTCCCCTGACCCTCAGCTATGCTAAGTAGAGCTGATAGAAGCTGAAGGCCAAAACACCTGGAGAGCCACTGGTGGCCCATCCCTGGCTTAGAATGCGAATTCAAAGCAGACCCACTCACCTCTTTGGCTCCCCTGGGAGTTTCCTCTCCCTCTGACACTAATTCTCTGGATCTGTGGCATTTCAGACAACCTTGTGGGGGAACCTGGGCTTCTCCTGAAGCCAGTCAGGCCCCTTTTGCCAGAAGTGGTAGCAACAGATAAGTTTTCCTACCAGGAAACCATGTCAAGCTCCCTGCTGCCATAGACAGCTAGAGGAGAGAGCATTGGGTATATCCTGGACCAGCCTTCCCCCACCTTATGCCTTCCAAAGTGTGTTGGCCTACAACTCCCACAATTCCCAGCCAGTACAGCCATGACCACATCGTAGTCCAACACATTCTGAGTGGTACAGGCTGGGAAGGGCTGCCCTTGGTGATACTGTCAGTTTAAGTAAGGAATGGCAAATGGAGGGTAGGACAGACCCAGAATCCTCTGCCAAGGGGTGCTGTGGCAGAAAAGCAAGTATTATTTGGCTGAAACACTGATGGGAAAAAGTTCCCTTGAATGTAGAGAAAACCCACCACTCCAGACAACGTCCTTCCCTGCCAAGGGGTGTCAACAACACCCCTTGTCTTTTCCCGATCCCTCTCCAGGGCTCACCTGTTCGACAATAGGGGTAGGCATTCCAGGCTCTCTCATGGACGATAAGGGACCCCTCAGGGGCAAACATCTTAATGAATCCTGGAACTTTGCTGCAAGAGAGAAAACCAGGGGAGGTCACGAAAGTAGGCCCAAGGCTTGGGATGCCCATGCCCCAGAGAAGTTCTTACCTCTGAAGATGGTAGATCTTGTGGGTATATTGCCCCCGCTCCCCCTCTCGCTCATAGGGTTCATTTGTGAGCACCTCAATCCCTTCACCACCACCAGTGTTGTTCTTGCTGGCTTCAGCCACGGAATACAACTGCCCCACTTGGTACTGAAGAAGACACAAGAGAGGAGGGGTAAATTCCACTAACAAGGCATCAGCTCTCAAGGAAGAGATCAGCCACAGAAATCCTCCCCCACTTATGTAGTGGGGGAGAAAGATGCTTGAGACTCTGTAGCCGGTTATGTCAAAATCAATGAAACAAACCCACTTCTCCCCACAATCTTGTACCAAAACAAGTCTACATGAGTGTCAACTTCCTACCAGCAGCGTCTATAAGAAGTGGCTTACCTCCTCCACTGAGCAAGGCAACAGTACCCGGCTGGTTTGTATGAGGAGCAGAGGGAGAGAAGCAGAGGGAAACAAGAGTTAGACGAGGCTCCCAATGCATTCAGACCCTCCCATTCTAGCACATCCTAGATAAAAAGCACAGACATCACAGTATTTATGCCAGCGTGGATTTAATTGATATCTCAACCAACATCACTTATAAAGCGCTATAGCACTATCTGAACAAAACAGCAATCCTCTATGAGCTTAAAAGTTGTTGTGTTTACCAGACCAGGTTGATATCAGATTCAGATTAGATTTATTGTTGATTCAGCTGAGAAATACCTGAAAAGAATTGGGGTATTTTTGCTGCTTTAAAGAAATCACATTCTCAGGTCTCTAAAATGATGCATTACTAATATATTCTCTGTGTAGTAGAGCCCCAAATAAGAGGTGCAACCGTATTTACAGATGATGTGTACTCCCTCATTATGTTAGAAAACTGTATATGCTGGATAACCTTCTAAGATTCCAGAATTAGTAATTGATGAAAGACAGCATTTTTCTACAAGGAGATACCAGAGTTGCCCCCTGCCCCATTTGAAAAAAATATTTCATCAACCAGGAAAAATGACAAATCAGATTGTGAGGATAGAAAACTATTAACTTCAGGAAAACTGCTACAAGCCAATCTAAATATACAGTGCAAAGGAGGATATAAAAGACCACTATACAGGCCATGCACAGGTTACCATATTTACCATCTTTTAACTGGTACCCGGCACAAAAGATGAGAGACAGTGTCGTGTGGTGGTCAGAGTGTTGGACTGGAGACCTGGGTTCTAGTCCTGCTCAGCCATGGAGCTAACTGGGCAACCTTGGGCCAGTCACTCCCTCTCAGCCCAATCTGCCTCACAGCATTGTTGTGTAGTGAGGATAAAACAAAGGAAAGACCACCGGACATAAGTGCAATGGAATAATAAGACAGTACTTGCTCACTGGAACACCTGACAGAAGTGCTCTTTAGTGGTGCCCTGAGACACCTTTAACAGCCACACTGCTTGTTAAAAAAGGGGGATGAGGGCTGTGGCCTCCAACTCCAATCAGCTCCATCCAGCATGACCAACAGTCAGGGATGATAGCAGCTGTAGTACAACATAATCTATAATGTCAGATTCCCCACATATTGCTATATTTACAGCGCAATCGCTGCATATGTCTGTCCAGAAGTTTTACTCATAAGACCCACCGAGTTAAATAGGACTTACTCTTGGCCACTGCAGCCTGAGATGGAAAGAGCCATGATGGCAAAGGGGTGCGTAAGGGAGAACTGGAATGCAGGAGTGGGCATGCAACAAAGTTCTAGCGGGATAGACCCAGTTTTCTTTCTCTTTCTTTTGCGGCCAAATTATCTGTGCCAGGTAAGCTGTCATTCCACCCCACCTTTTCCTTATGAATCAGTCTTTGCCCCAGCCTGCCAGATACAAAGCAAATCTGCTGTGAACTTCCCTAAAACAGTGCCTAAGCATGATTTGTGGTATCGCCTTGGCACCACAAGTATCCATGTTTGCTCAGAGATAAGTGCTCCTGAATTCAGCAGGCCTTATTCCTGACATAATGGTACAGATGATTAAAGTCTTAGGTACAAAGACGGATTGTTGATCTGATCAAGACAGTCTTATTCCACATCCGCCCCGCTACTGAATTCTTGAGTTATGATTCAGAAACACCCTCCCACCCCCAAACGTCCGATCAAACTACAGAAGAAACACGAGCAAGTCATTTCTCCAGGGAGTAGCCCGCTTGCTTTCTGTGGGGAAAGTACGTCGGGCGGCCTTCTCCGAGCTGGGGAAGGCCGGCTGGTGGAATAAACCGAGTTCCTTCTCTAGGATCGGGGGCAGGCATGCCGGGATGACACCACCCTCGCCCCACACGCCGCTTCCTGACAGAAACGTAAGAAAGTGCTTGACTGCAGAAGGGAAGGCCTCCCTCCCCGCCACCGAACAACCGGATATGCATACTCATATAAATACATGTATATGTATGCAGATATATGATACATGCATACATACGTGTGTGTGTATGTACACACAGATACACACAAACAGCACAGCGCTCAACAAAGTGTTAGATGCGATATGAAAACGAGCAAGCATGAAGGGAGCACGCAAGAGAAACGGGCAGCCATATGTTGTGGGCTCCGCAAACTGCCTGCGCCCGCCCCTTCCCAGGAGAGCCCCCCGCCCGCCCGCCCGCCGCCCGCGCCCCGCGCCTCGCAGGAATGCCCACCCCGCCCAGTACTCACTACTCCTTGATCAGCACCATCCTCCCGTCCCACCAGCGCCCCACACGCCAAAAGGCACCAGCCCTTCTCTTCCTCGTCCCACCCCGGCCATTGACGCCACTTCCGCCCTTAGTCCAGTGCCCACTCAAACAGGCCGCCCACGGCCACTTCCGCCCTCACTTTGGACGCTTTCCCCGCTTCCTCTTCACTGGAGCAATGAATGACTGACTGGGCTGAGGGGAGGAGCAAACAGCAGAGCGGAGGCCGGACGCTCGATCCCTGGATTGACAGCTCGAGGAGGATGGAAAGTTATGGGTCGCGCCGGAGGCGAGGCGAGGCGAGGCGAGGCTCCACTAGGGGACGCGCTGATAGTGCTGTTTTTCCGTGGAACTTTGCGCAAGAGAGTTCCTCTGAGACATGTGAAAAGCGCCGTTCACTCACCTGCGTTGAAAAAGGGAAAGCGCAGGAACTCGTGTGCATGGGATCAAGGGACAAGGCTAAGGCTGCACGGAAGAATTTTATCGATTTATTTTATTTATATCCTGCCTTTTTTCTTGCGAGGAACCCAGGAGGGCTTACATATCCCTCCTCCTTCCGATCTTATTTTCACAACTACCAGTGAGGTAGTTTAGGCTGATAATCAGTGGCCAGTTCAAAGTGCTTTGGTGAACTCCATGCTTTGTGGAGACCAGAACCCAGGTCACCTGTGTCCTAGACCAGTGATGGCAAACCTTTTAGAGAATGAGTGCCCAAACTGCAACCCAAAACCCTCTTATTTATCGCAAAGTGCCACCACTACAATAAAACCTGAAAACTGAGGTATTAGTTTAGAAAAAACTCACAGCCAGTCCAAACACACACACACACATATATATATATATATATATCTCTCCTTGGCAGCGCACTGACCAGCCACCCGAAAGCTCAGACGACTTGCAGCTAATGAGTCACATCTCCTGATGTCATTGCCTGGTGCCAGGACTCCTTTCCGAGCATGCGCATGGCCCCTATGTGCGCTGTTATCCGATGCTCGGCTGCTGGGGTGATGCTGTGGCGACTTGGCTCGTATGCCAACAGAGAGGGCTCTGCGTACCTACTGTGGCACATGTGCCAAAGGTTCACCACCACTGGCCTAACCCAAGCCTGGTGCACTCCCCTAACTCTAATATAGGGCTAAAATACCATTGAAGGGGGTGATTTTTCTGAGTAGCTTTTTCTGCACAGCTCCTCTTTTTTGCCCATTCCAAACACATTCCAACCATCGAAATCATGCCAGGACACCTCGTTTTTCTAACCCTAACCCTACCCTGGTGCATACCCCTAACCCTAATATAGGGCTACAGTTCCATTGAAAAGATAGGGATTTTGAAAAAGCCTTCCTTGAGTAGCTTTTTCTGCATGGCTCATCTTTTCTGCCCATTCCAAACACATTCCAGCCATCAAAATCATGCCAGGACACCTCGTTTTTCTAACCATAACCCAGTGATGGTGAACCTTTTAGAGACCAAATGTGGAAACTGCAACCCAAAACCCACTTATTTATCGCAAAGTGCCAACACTGCAATAAAACCTGAAAACTGAGGTTTTAGTTTAGAAAAAAGAACTCACAGCCAGTCCAAGCAATATGCAGCGCACTGACCGGCCATGCGAAAGCTCGGACGAGTTGCGGCTAATGAGTCACGGTGCGTGACTTCATCGCCTGGCGCCGCTACTCCTTTCCGAGCAGGCGCATGGCCCCTCTGTGCGCTGCTACCTGATGCTCAGCTGCTGGGGCAATGCTGGGGCGACTGGGCTCGCATGCCGACAGAAAGGGCTCTGCCATGCCATAGGTTCGCCACCGCTGTCCTAGACCAACACGTATCTGCTAAACTGCAGTGGCTCTCAGCACTGAGCCATGTGCCACTTCTCTGTTTTGAAATCATCCACTGGATATTCATTTTGTTGATGCAAGCAAGGGCTGGGTGGAAACACGGTCTAATCCTCCGGAGCAAGTGGTAGCCTGCCCAATGTTTGGGAGTTCAAGTCCCATAGACCCGTTGCACCTACTGGCCAGGGCACAGGGGGGCTGTGTCCAAACATCTGCTGAGCTCCATTACCTGCCATTGTTCTGCATCCTCGGCCTGGTGCCACTGAAATACGTTGGACTTGGATATGTAGGAATACTATCACCTGTGCCTGCCACACACAGAAGCCCAGGCTGAAAAAATGTTGGCAACTTAGTCCAGAATGAAGAATGCGAAATGGATCTAGTTCTAGTATGGGCATTGATGGAAATTGCTGTTCATCATATCTGGAGAGTACCTGACTGGGGAAGGTTGGTCTAATAGGTTTACACAAAAATTCCTGCTTCCTTCTCTGGGCCTGAATGGGGCCTATTCCATTTATCAATCTCTTTTCAAGACCAGGTGTGTCAGCTCACAAAAGAGGTGATTTTTTTAAAAAGAGGTTTATTGATCTGTTGATCAATGATTTGACAAAGAGGTTTTTAACATTCTTTGCTAACAGTTCTTAAATAATTAATAGTCTTCTTATCTTATTAACGGTCATGATAACAGCCAGAGGAATTAAGTGCTGAGCTGTTAAAAGAAATTATAATTTATGGTGTTTTTATCATGGAGATGTAACTGCATTTCTATTTAAATCCTCACATTTTGTTTCTCTAAATTTATTATTTATTTAGGAAGCTTCTATGCCGCCCCATTCGCCGAAGTTATAAATTTGCAAGTATAACTCTAAATTAGCATAAGCAAGTATTCTGAAATCTCTCCCCATTTCTGACCTCTCTTTTGATGTTGGATAACTGGACACCTTACAAGACATTGGCATTATTACAACCAGGGCCCAGTGCATCAGGACCGATTTTAGAGGCATTACCCAGGAACTACTGATTCCCATCGTCTTCCCTGAACATACGCTGAATATGTATTTTCGTTCCTTCTTGCTCTTTGTTGTTCCTTTGCTGTTCCTAATGTTGGGCAGAAAAGGCTAGCTTCAAATTCTGATATCTGTAGCTCGATTACATTCCTTGTGGGAAATCTACCAGTTTGGGAAGGAAAGGAAAAGGAAGGGGAGGGGTGTTTAGTAGTCTGGAGAGTACTTGGATGACTTCTGAAAAGGGAAATTTGATAGACTGTAGGTGGAGACTGAGTTTTAAATTTTTCAAGAGGAAATCCAGGTACTAAGGTCAGTGGCAAATAGAAAAAATCGTTTGGGAACTCTGAAGTTTCTTTTGCATTCCAATTGGCTGAACATTATGGGATGGGCTGAAACAACAAGCTCAACACTTGTTTCCTGGTGAAGCTTTCTGAATGAGGCAATTCGATTGTAGTGCGTGTTGCCCTTAAGCTTGCAGAAGGAACAGAGATGAAATAAAACAGGCTTCTCAGGCAGTCATCTGGCAACGGGAGCAAACCTTCGTCTTCCAGAATTGCTTCACAGGATACTCCAGGAGGCCAGTGCTTCCTTTGAGGAGAATTGCAAAGCTCTCACGCTCAGCTCTGAAGGGGCACCATGGCTACCGAATTGGGCTACACTGAAGCCCTACACAGTTACCGCGAAATCTTTCGTAGGTTCCCACTGAAACTGGTCCATGGGATCCCCCTGATGGAACCCATTGCTGAACAGTGGGCTCCAGTTGAAAATTTCCAAGCGCGACCGGATGACCTGGTCATCTCGACTTATCCCAAAGCAGGTGAGATACCCATGGGGAGAGACTCAGCTGGGGTGGGCAGAAGGTAGATGCCCAGGTATTTCAGACTGTAAATCCCAGAAGTTCCTGCCAGTATGGACAAAGATCAGCAGAGCTGGGAGCTAAAGTGCAAAATGTCTGGAGACTGCTGTCCTAGGGGGATGGGGGCTATAGGAGTAGGATTAGGGTTAGGGCTGGAGAAAATGGTTGGAGCCAAATGTGGGGGGGGGGAGTGGGGGAGGAGGGCAGCTTCAATCTCAGTGGAAGCCAATCTCAAAAGCTGTCGAAATGCTCCCCAACTACTTGTATTACTCTGAAAATGAGAAGTGAGTTCTGTCTTTGATGTCAAGCATTATTATACTTGAGGCATGCTTAGAAAATGGGCTGCAGATAAAGAGATGGTTTTGTTCAGCACCTTTTGGAGGCTGCATCCTTGATTGGTCTGATTTGGTTTTAGAGTTGCTCACCTATTCATGATGTTTTATGTTAATATTTCTGGGGCTTCTAAAGAGAGGTTTGTGGAAGATTTAGGAAAACAGGAGGGTGGGAGGCAGATGGAGAGTTTACATCTCTTGTTACCACATGTGATGGTCCCAGTTTGGATTGGGATCCCACACATGCTTACACACAGTGCTTTTTTTGTAAAAAAAAAAAGGTGCCGGAACTCACGACTTGGGGTCACACTTTTACACAATGGTCGTCGCCGGCAGTAAGCACTCAGCATGCGACCATACGACCGATCCCAAGCCAAGCAGCGTCCCAAGCCGAGCGGTGCCCTCACAATCAGTGCCGACAATCAGCGCTGACACACAAGAAACCTGCAGGCACTACGTTAATAATTTTTGCTGCGGATCAGCTACGCCCAACAGGGCAATTCACAATCACTTGGAAAAATCTGTCAAAAAAAGGTGCCGGAACGCTGTTCCGGTGCGTTCTATGACAAAAAAAGCCCTGCTTACACGTAAGCAAGGAAAAACGTGGGTAAGCTGCATGCTGCTTAATGGATAGTGTAGTTGAGCCCTCAGTTTGTCTGGCAGAATTATATATCCAAATAAATCATATAGTTTTACATTTTTGTATACCAAACTTCAAATTATATTATTATATGACAGACCTAGTATGGATTACAGACTGGATTTTTAACTTCAATGAAAGATTAATGAAATTAGAAATTGCAGACCTAGAAGAAGGAATACACAATCAAGTATGGGCTATAGAATCAATTAAAAAGCATTGACACCAAATAGTAGTCACGTATTTAGAGATCGTCTAATAAAAATTTGATACTCCAAGAGGAGAAGAACAAGCTCTCCAGTCTCTCCTATCATGTCCCCAGTAGAAGCATACTGGAAAACATTCTAGCAAAAACAATACTCTTATAGCCAGTGCTTTTTTGGTAAGAAAAAAGGTGCCGGAACTCATGAAATTATTTACCTTTCATACATAGTCAATCACTGTACACACACCCACACACGTCAGTTGTGTAACGAAACATCGCAGCCGCCGCAGTGCGCGCGACCACATGACCAATCGCAAGCCGAGCAGCGTCACAAGCCGAGCAGCGCCATCGCAACCAGTGCGGAAGAAGTCCGCATGCATCGGACTCGACACACAAGCAGCCCCTATGCACCATTTTAATGATTTTGCAGCCAGCCTGCTACGCTCGACAGGGCAATTCGAATCCACGTGGACCAAACATCAAATTTTCAAAGTTACTTTTAAAACTTGGAAAATCTGTCGAAAAAAGGTGCCGGAACTCTGTTCCGGTGCGTTCTATGACAAAAAAAGCACTGCTTATAGCATATTGTATATGGAGGCATTGTCAACTAACATGCATGTTAAGGCATGGCAAGAATTAAAAGTTGAAGGAAAAAATATAAAATGGCTCCTTTATCATCAACAAGCCTCAAGAGTAAAAAAGGAAATTCAACCTGGAAAGGGCATATTAAGAAATTTGACAGACTTTGAAATTGTAATTAAAATCAACCAGACCATCTCCTGGGACATATTTATAAACAGTGGACTCTTCAAGAAGAAATATCAGCCCATCAATAGGAAATCTTATGGTTGAAGGACTTAAAATTTACCACATATTCAGCACTAAGAGAAATTTGGTGGAAGATGTATTTCTGGTGGTATATTACCCTGAACGATATACAGAAAATGGACAAGAACTATAATGGAAAATGTTGGAAATGCAAAGAGATAGATGGGCCATTTTTTTTATATGTGGTGGACATGTGACAGAATGTTAAAAATTTGGAAGCGGATACATGCCGAGAGGCAGAAAATACTTAAAAATGACTTTTCAGTGAATGCCAGGAACACGTTGCTGAGTATTGTCCCAGAGACTATTCCCAAAGGTTATGTCAGAGTTATACAAACATATAACAGGGGCAAGAGTGATAATTGCCTCAAAGTGGAAAGCTGAAGACTGCTTAGCTGTTGAAAAGTGGGGAAACAAGCTAGCTGATTATGCAACAATAGCAAAGCTAACTAGTTACGTCAACAGAAGGCCAGTTGAAGAATTTAATCAAAGTTGGAAGATTTACTTTGAACAATATAATGATGGTTAAAAAATATGATTTATACAAATGTTTGTGATTTCATCTGCACCAAACCAATGTTGAGGCCTATAACTAATTGTATAGGCTAGATAAATACATGACTGAGAACTGAATGGGTGGAAAAGAAGAGAGGTTGATAGAGATCTTTGTTTATTGTAAATGTACTTAAAGGAGGAGTTGCTTGTTAAATCTTTAGAATGACCCTTGGCTTCTTTTCCCCTTATTATTATATAGCCTTTTCCTCTTCTATTGTATTTCTTGAAAACAAATAAGTGGATTTGCAAAAACAAAAGTGTTTCAGCAGGAAATGGCTCTCAATGTGGACAAAGGGAAATAGGGTGAGACAAGAAATATCAGCCTATTTTAGCTGAAAGGCCTTCCTGCCAGCATCCATGCCTTAGGAGAAACACTTCAACTTTTCAGAATGAGGGAAAAGCTGCACAAAACCCAGCAAACCCAGAAGGTTGTCTACAGACCTGAGTTTATTTATTTATTTATTTTTCAATTTATATCCTGCCTTTTTCCTACAAAGGGCTCAAGGCAGCTTACATCTCCTCCATCTTATCTCCACAACAACAACCCTGTGAGGTAGGTTGGGCTGAGAGTCTGTGACTGGCCCAAAGTCACCCAGTTGGCTCCAGGGCTGAGCGGGGACTAGAACCCAGATCCTCTGAGCCCGTCCCATGCTCTTAACCACTACACCACACTGTCTCTCCACTGCTGAGCTACTGCTTACCTTTGGGGATGCTTGGACTACCTGCAATTTGCTAGATAAAAAGGGGGCACCCTAATTATTAGTTATTTTTGGACTTTCTTCCTTTGTGCCTTTAGGTACTACATGGATGCAAGAGATTGTTGATCTGGTCCTGGCCGGTGGTGATGTGGAAAAAGCTAAGCGGGCACCTGTGTATATTCGGATCCCATTTCTAGAAATCTGCTCTCCAGGCCCTATACCTTCAGGTGAGCCCAGGAAATCCAAGTGCCAAGGTTGAGCCACAGCATTTCGGTGCCAAAGACAAAATGGCATCTACTCCCGTTCCTTCTGCAAAAGTCAACGGGATGGGCAGTTGAGTGTTTCTTCAGTACTACAACAAGGTCAGCTTGTGCTCTACACCCGAAGGCAGCAGGCCTGCTTAGCAGAGCAGAGCGTTTGACCCACAGGTCTCTCCTCCGACGGCTTTCTGCAGCCTCCCAGCATCTGCTGCCTGAAATGTCAGCCTCACTCTGTCTCATGGTAGGGCCGGCCGTGTCCCCCATCCTGCCTTCCAAGCCAAGACTGACCCTGTTGCCTGTTCGCAGGGGTGGACTTGTTGGTGAATGCGCCATCTCCGCGTGTGATCAAAACCCACCTTCCCTACCAGCTTGTTCCTAAAAGCTTTTGGGAAAAGAACTGCAAAGTAAGTGGACTTACCCTGTTCCTTCCTCCTGTCATGTTCGACTCCTCATACCTGCTCGGCAGCATCGCATGTTTCATTACTTGGTTTTGGCCCTTCGCAGATGATTTATGTTGCTCGGAACGCCAAGGACAACTTGGTCTCCTACTACTTCTTTGACCAGATGAACCTGACCCAGCCAGACCCAGGGCCATGGGAAGACTACATTCAGAAATTCATGGAGGGCCAAGGTCAGTCTGAAGGCACACCTCATCTTGAGCAGCAGGCCCTTGCTTGGATGTTAGGGCGGGTGGATTCTCTGTCCTCACATAGCTTTCGCCCCCTATGGAACTCATCTTGAACTTTGGTTTGTAAAATGAAAGCAACTTTCCATTTTTGGAGCGTATCTGTCCCAGTTTTTGTGGTGACCTGATGCAGAAAATAGCCAGGCAAGGCTCCAGGATGCTTAATAGTTATGAAAAAGTGGGAATGGTTACAGAGCTGTTATTTTTCTTAGCTCACTGTATAAAATTGCACTTTAAATCCCCATGACTTGCTTAAGGTTTATTCCTAGGAGACTTCCTTGTACTAAACTATTAAACTATTAGTTTAAACTAATAGTTAAACTATGGAATGCATAGTCTATAACCAATCCTGACTTTCCCCAGTTTATATTGGGACCTCTACATACAGGGGGTGAAGGTTTAAATTTCCCCACCAATCTGCTAAATTCACCATGTCCCACTCAGGGACTAAAGAAAGGAGAGAAGACTCTGTTAGCACCTCTTTTGGGTGGGACCTAGGGAAAAATCTTGCAGGCTGGATCCCCCATCAGGTCTACCCAGCCCTTGACTGGAGATTCCCTGTGCCTGGGTTAGAGGGGAAGCAGGAAAGGGTTTATAGTTTCAAAGGTACAAGATTCCCATTAGGACTTTGATCTTTAGCAAAATAATTGGTTAGATTAATCCATTAAAAACCCCTCAAGAAGTGCTTAAAGTCATCTCTGATTGTCACATTGGCCAACATGTTGTTTTAAAATTTAGGGTGGTTGTTGTCATTTTATAAAAAAAATAAGGTGCTTAAAAACTGCAGATGACATTCTACTAGGAGATATATTTTCTCTTGACTCTCATAAAATAAAGGTCTCTTCTAAAGCGGCATCTACTGCTTAAGAGGTGTAGAGGTTCTTTCTTTTAGAAAAAGGACAGATTCTTTGCTGTTTCACAGCAATTGTTCAAGTCCCATCCATATTTATACATATTTAACTGATAAAGGGCAAAATCCCATGTGAGTTTACTCAGGAAAACATCCTGCATCTTGCAGAATTCTAGCCAGCACAGGGGTTACGGGATGGTTTTTCTGCCTGAGCCTGGATACTGTTCCCCTTAATTAAAGGAATTCAGCCTCCAGGCCTCTCATCCCAGGAACTGCAGCCTAAGGATGTCACTGTGGGTAGGGCCAAAGTCCGAAGTCAGCAAGGTGAGAGGCACCTTCACACCCCACTCATGCGTATCCAGCATCGTTCATTCTTTCTCTCTCACACGCATCCCAAACCTCTTCCATCAAGCAACCCATTCACCTCCGTGCTTCCACCGCTGAGCTCTACCCCATCCCACACCCACCCACCTTGGATTGTTGCAGTCCCTTTTGGAATCCCTTCCGCAGAGGACTTTCCCCTCCCCATCCACATCCCATTTTTAAAAAAATGAAGGCTGGGTGTACACGCAACTGGGTGTAAGCCCTGTAGAATGCGGGGGACTTACTCACAAGTAAACATGCCTATAGGATTGCACCGTGAAGGTCTTTGGCTTAAGGATTCGTTTGATGGAGTGACGATCCACCTTCTTATTGTCTCCTATCTCATTGATTGCTCAGTTCCCTGGGGCTCTTGGTATGACCATGTCCGGCGTTACTGGGAGGAGAAAGAAAACCACCGCTTGCTGTATCTCTTCTATGAAGACATGAAAGAAGTGAGTTGCCAGGGACAGCCAGTGTGCTGTGCCCCTGAGGGACCATCCAAAAACACCTGCCCTACTTTCTTCCGTAGCAATACTGATGGGCTTTTGCCCCCATGCCCTCCTCGAGAGCTTCTGTGCACATCTGTTTGGGAAACAGGGCGTGGGTTAGACAAAGCTTTGGGCTGATCCAGCAGGGCTCTTCTTATGCCTTTATGGAGCTGCCCTTCACTTGGCATCCTCTAGATTGGCCACAATGGCGGGGGATGATGGGAGCTGCAGCCCAGCCCACACAGAGGGCAGATCCAGCGAGAGATGCTGGGAACCGTAATCCAACAGATCTGGAGAGCACCAGCTTTGGAAAGGTTGGTTTGCAGGATATTTACAGAGTATCATTAGCAAAACAGAAATCAGAAATGAACTCCTTGCCATCCAGTTTTTTAGCAGAGGGGACAAAGCAATGGAATCAGGGCAATATGAGAGAGAGGGAGAGGCTGTAAGGAGGTTTTTTCCTACATTCTTAAGATGTAAGACTGACTTGGCCGTGGTCATACATGTTTTATGTCATGTTCAGATTGGTCAGTGTCTTTTCAAAACGCAACTACAACATTAAGCTTGGCAAGATGTATGGAAAACTGGGAGGCCTCTAAGGTAGGCCTCCTCTTCCTTCTGCTTATGTCACATGTATGTGATATAGTGTGGCCCGTGTGGCATACAGTGTTTAGCCTATTGGCTTGGGACTTGAGAGATCTGGGTTCTAGTCCACGCTTGGCCATGAAGTTCACTGGGCAACTTTTGGGCTTCTCAGCCTAGCCTCCTTCGCAGGGTTGTTGTGATGATACAGTGGAGAGGAGGAGAACTTCCTAAGTCACCCTGAGTTCCTTGCAAGTGTGGAAAAAGGCAGAATGAAATGTATTGATTGATTTCTAGCCTGCCCATTACCCAAAATGACTCTCTGGGTGGCTTGCAGAGATATAAAACAACACCATACACAATAAAACAATAATATTAAAACTAGCATAAACACTACAACAATAAAATAGCAACAATAAGAAGCAAGAAACCTCACAATAAAACTCCGCAACAGTCACCATTCAAATTAAGTCAAGGGCACAGTAGCAAAAAATGCTTTCTAAAAATTACTCTGTTAAAACATTGGGCAAAGAAAAAGGTCTTCCCCTGGTGCTGTAAAGAGAGGGTGCCAGGCAGACCTCTTTGGGGAGCCGATTTCACCATCAGGGTGCCATCACCAAAAAGGCCCTTCTCCTTGTAGCCATCCTCTTTGTTTCCTTCAGAGGGGGCTCTCTAAAAAGGACCCCAGATGATGATCTTAGGGTCTGGGCAGGCACATAAAGGAGGAGGTGCTCCTATAGATAACCTGGCTCCAAGCCATTCAGGGCTTTAAATATTAATGTTAACACTATGACTTGGGCCTGGAATTCAGTTGATAACCAGTGAGATTGATAGCAAGCTGGCATTATATGTTCATATCACTGCATCTTGCAGTAGCAAATTCCATAGTTCTAACTATCTGCTATGTGAAGAAGTCCTTGCTTTTCTCTCTCCACTTCATAAGATGATGCCATAGTTCCAGGCTCACAAGAGGAGAAACATTGCTATGCTTTTTCTCCATACCATGAGTTGCAGCCATATTTTTTATTCCAGCCAACAGCTTTTCCTTTCCTGCATAAATCTTATAGCACTGTTCAATTTAATGTGTGTGTCTCCTTCTTTGTGTACTTTTCAATGTTTCACACTCTTCTTCTTGCGTATAGCCAGTGTTTGCTTACAAAGGTCATGGACTATGTTGACTCTGCAGATGCATGTAGGAAGGTTTGGCAAGAATATAGGTCCACGGTGTTATGCAATGCTCATTTGAGAAGAAACCATTTCAACATATCAAGTGCTTTTGAAATTTATTGGAAGTTCTATCAGGCACTCTCCCTTCCCTCAAAGCTATATAATCAGTATTCCTGTACTGCACATCAAGAACGTTCCCGTACACATTGTACCTAAGATAATGCAGAGTAGTGAAAATATACTTTATTGACCCCTACTGTTCTTATTTCCCAACCGTTAGTCCTGATATCAGTCCCTGGTGAACAGAGATGATCTGTTGCTCTTTGCATCTGTCCCTAGTGAACTGATGTCCCTACTTCCACTTTTTAGAGAATTAAAGTGTTGGAAGGGACCTTAGATGTCATTTAGTCCAACACCCTTGCCCAGAGCAGCATCTACAGTTTTCCTGACAGTTGGCCATCCAATCTCTGCTTGAATAGCTCCAGTGAAGGAGAACTCTTCGTCTTCAGAAACATCAAGAAGTTTATCATAATAGTTAGCTCAAATCGGTGTCTATTTTTTCATTCCTTTGTCCGAATCCTGCTCTCTGTAGCAATAGAAGCAAATTTGCTCGTTTTCTGCAGAACATTTCCTGTAGAAAAATCAGTGTAAGCAGGAATCCCCTCTTCTTTCACATGTACACAATCTGGTGGGAAGAGAAGATGCTCAGTGGCCTTGAAATACCAAGCGTTGAGAGAAAACAAACTGGAGGCAGGAACAAATACCATTTCTTGTTTTCAGATTGGCAGAGACTGCTTTTAAGACTGTGGGTAAAGTGACATAGTCAGCTGTGCAGATTTCACAGTAGGGTTAGGATAGGCTCACGTAATGACTTTTGCTATAATCTCTTTTGTGTTTTAACTGAGGACCTATTTCAATCTGTGAAATATTGGAGAGAAGGCAGAATTTCAGAGGTTTCAGAGTTTGTGTTTTTGATCTCATTTCATTTTTTCAGCCCAGGAAACTGTTGTTTTGATGTTAGACAGAGAATTTCCGAATCGTATCACCAAACTCAAACAAGTTTTTGGTGGAAGCTGTAATGCCAAAACTGGTATAAAATGGATATATGTTTATAGATTGGATAAACCCAGAAAAACCCATTAAGTCCTTTGTCTGATGACTTGTGCTCATTCAGTACTGTCTCCAGGCAACAGTGAAACTTCCACAAATTGAGCCAGGTGGTGGGGGAAGAATGAATGAATCAATTCATCCATGTAGTCGAAGAAAAACAAAAAACATAAGCAAATGCACAAAGTTGAAGGCTGAATAGGCTGTCTAAATAGTACAGAATTTCTGAGAAGGGGAACTTTCTAGTTACTTTTATTTTTTTTTTTTTTACTGTACTTTAAAATTGACCAGGAACCAAGTTTCTCTGGGCAGAGTGTGATGCATTAGAACACATACTGCAGACATTGAAATGAAAAAGAAAAACAGCACTAAATAAAACCATCACAAATTAAATTAAAGCCAGCAGCAGAACAGAGGACTGAACGCACTAAAAATAGTTCTTACAGTGTTTCAGAAAATAAAAGGTCTTTCGCCTGTGCCGGAAAGCCTGTGATATATTCTAGCTGCTGTCTACATTCTCGCTGTGTTCTTTACTGGCAAAATCCACTCTATCATCCTTCAGTGGGGAAATCCCCCTTTAATCTCTGCAATGTGTATTTTAGCAAAGAAAAGCAAAACACACATATTGCCATGAGCCGTGATGAGAGCATGATTCATATTCCTGTTGGCCATCTGTACTTTATTTATTTACAATATATCTTGGCCACTCTTCATCAGGAGGATTCCAGAGCGGTGTACAAGAGGGAAACAAAAACCGCTTCCGGATAGATCTGTGTGGCTTGGGACAAAGGCCTCCAGATGGGGTGTTAGGTAAGATGTGACTCGACACTGAACACACTTTGGATTTACGTAACTGGTTAAGCTTCATCCACTCACATTGCCATTCTGCTGCTTCGGGGAACTGCAGCTTTGACCTGCAACAGGGAATCCTGCACAACAGCACTAAAGCATGCCAAGATCAAGGGCAGGGCAACCCAGAGAATAGTTAGAGGATAAAGGAAGCACATAACAGACGGGACACAGGCACAGTTCCAATGCTGTGTGCCTAGAACTGAACGATTTTAATCCTTGGCCTTCCATCCCTGCCTGGATCACAGTCGCCGGCCACAGGACCACCAGAGGAATGGTCTGCTTGTGGTCTACCACATGTGTCTTGACTCACGAGAAGCACTTATTGCTCACGCAGGTGGCCGAGCCTGAATCTGGTGCGCTCCGGCTGCTTAGCATCCACCTCTGAGTCTGACAGTAGCTGAATGGCTGATTGCAGATCTCTCAACTGTGATGTTTTGGAGCAGGAGGGCAGGAGCTTGAGCCATTGTGTGGTACTGAGGTGGTGCTGGTCTCTCCCTCTCCCTGGGCCCTGGAAATCCCCGCTAAAGACCTTCTCTGAGGTTGTTTTTGTGACACTGGAGAAGAGCAGGTGTGGGTCTTTCCACTCTGACTGCAAGGCTGCGAGGTGGGTGCTCCAAGCGCAGAGTCTGAGCTGCATTCCAGTGTCAGAGCCGGGAGTCAGTCCATGGCCCTCTGGATGTGGGGTTTAGGTGCCATAGGATTGCTCAGCTAAACGTCCTGGCATAGCCTCCCCCAACCTGGTGACCTCCAGATGTGTTGGATTGCAACTGCCATCATTCCCGTGCAACATGGCCACTGATGAGTTATTAACACAGTGTGCACGCTTGGGTTGTTTCCAGGTTTTTATTGTGCAATGGTCAGATAGGAGAATGGGGCGTGTTGGAAAAAGGCTGGGAAAAGCTCTTTTAGAAGCAGGAGAGAGAGAGAGAGAGAGAGAGAGAGAGAGAGAGAGAGAGAGAGAGAGAGAGAGAGAGAGAGAGAGAGAGAATCAACAAATGTTAACATACATGTAGGAGTGAATTGTGTGGGTGTGTGTGGTGGGGGAGAATCCTACAGTTCCCAGCATCCCAAGGCTGGGGAATCCTGGGAAGTGTGGGGCTTTTTCTGTGTAACGATACATGGGATTGCACCCCGAGAATGTTGGTCATTTGCACAGGGACGGGGGACATTTTTTAGTTGTTTTCAATGAGAATTCTTTTATTAGAAGCAACTGACCTCTTAGCAACAAAATCCATTTTATCACTGTGGGGACAGGAAAGCCTTTGTTATTAATCCCCATTTGCCAATAAATAGATGCACATTATCTTATGAGCTGCAGGAAGAGCATACTTCTCAAACCTAGTCTAATCACTGTATGTTGCAAGAAAAGAATATTTCATGCAAGGAATAAAGAAAGACAGAGCTTTATGGACATGAAAGTGTGAAGTAAGGTGGCGAAAAGTGTGAAAACTTGATGCCTGGCCTTCCTCAGTATGTTTTTCCTTGGTAGCCCTGCTTCACATCTTTTTGTGATGTGCAGAGTTCATTCTCCCCATTAAGAAATAACCACGAGTCGCTCTCACAAAGCTAAAGTGTCATGCCTCCTCCTCCAAGTGAAACGTGAATAAGTTATTCTGGTTCTGTTCTGTTGTTTTAAACTTAGTAGGTTTTCATCTTCTCCTTTATTTCATGCTTGCGTTAGGGTTAGGGTTTCAAGATTCGTTGTGTGAACTGCCCAGAGAGTTTCAGCTACTGGGTATTCGGTAAATACGTGAACAGAACTTACATTCAGACTGAAGAGGGTTGTGACTCCCAGTGTGGAAACAAACACACGAGCATGAAAGTGATCCAAAGGCCACCTGGTGTCATTCCCTGAGCTAGAACCAGCAACCCACAGCCTCCTGCCCTCTTTCAGGCCATTCTTCAGCAGAGACAAGGTTGGGAGATCATACCCGTAATCATCCCATTCTGTCCTCTCTCCCATGCGTCTGTCCCAACCAGGACTTGGCCCGTGAGGTGCGCCGTGTGAGGGATTTCCTGGAGGTCGACTTGCCTGAGGACGTTGTGCAGAAGATAGTCCATCATACAACATTCACGGTCATGAAGGACAACCCCATGGCAAATTATGAGACCATCCCCAATCTCATTTTTGACAAGTCCAAAGGCGCATTCATGAGGAAAGGTAAGCAATATTTGTTCTCTCAGAACCCCCAAAATATGCTTCCTAGCTGCAGAAGTTCTTCTCCACACCTTAAACGGAGGAGGAACATTGGGAAAGGAAGTCTTTCTAGGCAAGGGGTGGCCATCTTGATGAGTCCACCACATTTTCCAGCCGCTTGAACTATATTTCGAGGCTCTAAGCTTAAGCACCATCAGCAGCCGCGATTGCTTACATCCTCAGTACTGGCTCAAGGTTTGGAAGGTCCTTGGGCAAGACTTGCTCAGTGGGCCTCTGCCTGCAAGGAGGGGTGAGTCCTCTCACTGCCGTTGTCGACAGCTTCTGTCACTCCTCGTCTTCTTTATCTTGTTTGCCATTGTCTGCTTAATAGGTGGACGGCCAGGGAGCAAACAGGCCGCGGCATCTTTTGCTCTCCTCACACCACCATTGTCAGCACCAGAAGCACCAGGTGGCAATGGGGGAGGCGAGGAGCAATTCCAGTGGGATATCTAGGCAGAAGGAGCGCTTAAGAGACACCGTGATGAATAAAAAAGTTAACATAGGCCATCTAATTTCATGTCCTTTTTGTAACATACTCATCTATGAATCAGTTCCATCCTGTTTCCATATTAACCTGCATTTTTTTAATAGAGGATGAAAAAGTGCGTTGAAATAATAATTTGAAATGCATTTTCTCTCAAAATCTGAAAGCATTTTTATCTGCTTTTTGAGCTGAGTACTGTATTGGAACATTGAGGAATGCAAAAGCCAATGGGTAACTCTTCTGTATTTCCTTAGGTGACGTTGGTGACTGGAAGAATTATTTCACAGTAGCTCAACAGGAGGAGTTTGATGCTGATTATCGGCGCAAGATGGAAGGAACAACATTATGTTTCCGGGATGAATTATAAAGCTTCTGTAAAAGAGGATTTAACCTGCCACTTTACCAAGGCTTCTGTTTCCAGATTATTTGCAGATTAATACCATATATACCAGCATATAAAATGACCCTTAAAACCAAAAATAAAGCAAAAATTAGGGGTCATCTTATATACCCAAATTATATAAACAGCCCAAAATATCAACCTTGTACACAAGTCACCTTATATGCCAGTATACAGGTGGTCCCCAGGTTACAACTGTTGGGTTATGAACAACCCGTGCTTATGCACAGACTGCCATTAGCCCTATATGAATATCTTTACAAAAAAGCCATGAATATCTCTAGGGAACTA